TTTCTCATGTTGGAGGAGTAGCAACATCTCAGGGACTGTAATACTTGCAAATGTCTCCTGGTAAAACACCTCAAATGCCTTCAAAAGTAGGGAGGCTAGTTAATGAAGTTAGTCAAACAGCTTCAACCATTGACAACGCGGTCAGTTTTGTTTCTGAGTTCCCCCTCAGTCCCAGTCTCTAGTCATGGTTGTTAGAGCAAATCTCAAATAGTTCAGAATGCATCTCTGAATGACAGGGGATTTTTGAAAACAGAGGCATACTATTCTGGTCTAAAAAGTTAAAATTGTTTAATAGCATCAAGTTTCTAGTCAGTCAGGATACGTACCTAGTGTAAACCCAAGGAGTCAAATACCAAGGGAAGAAACCTCCCTCTCAGAAAGAACACTCAAAGCCAGTTGTCAGTGACCCTGCAATAAGAAGTGTTACCTTTAAACAGTGGAGGATCTGGGGCTTGAACAGGGAATCAAGAACAGCAGGCTCCATTTGTGAGAAGTTGTTGTCTTAGCTGGTGGTACCAAGTGTCAGGAAGCCCAGAGACTTCAAAAGGCTCAAGACTGCTTGCTTGGTTATGGCTCCGTGTGTTTAGTGGCATTCATCACACATTGCCAGGAAGGATTAGTGAGCCAAGGAAACAAATCCACTGGAAATAACTTTGAGATCAAATGGTTTCAACTCAGCATGTAGTGAGCACCTACTAACTGCAAGGTACTGGGTTATAGCTTCAGAAACACAGGTGAATTTACAGTCAAGAGGGAAAAGAGGTCCAAACAGTTATGAAAAGTTGTAATAGCACAGGAAGAGAAAGACATTTGCTAAATTGTCATTTTCACATGGAATGCAGACCTAGAGACATTGGAAGGATGGCTTCAGGGTGCTGCCTGGTTTCCACAATATAGATCAGTTAGAAGTTGCCCATAATGGCACCAGCAACCATGTCATCTGTCAGCGTCACACCTGTGTAAAGATTGTATGTCCCTGAAATTGTCTGAGGGTCTGCACTCCCCTCCTTGGTCAAGGGAGCTGGAGAAAAACACTAACAAATGGAAAGAAGAGTTATTGTGATTGAGCACGGAGGAGAGAATGGGCCCAAGAACGGCAGAGGATTCCAGGAAGAGAAAGGAGGAACAAGGGGTGGGAATTACTGGCAATTAGGGAACCAGCAGCATGGTGACCTTAGGGCAGAGCGGGAGGAGTCGGCCAACTGGAAATGCCTGCTGGGACCACAGTGGAAGCCTTGCTCATTGGCCAGTGAGAGGATGACTGTGCTTGGTGTTCCTTGAAATAGCTAGGTAGGAGGTGAGGAAAAGCTCAGGAATCCATCCACAGCAGACACCACGAACTCAGTACAGAGTCCATAGGACGCGCATGACATTTGCAAATAAATGTGTTTTAGAAAGATGAAGACAGAAACACGTGTGTGTGTGTGTGTGTGTGTGTGTATGTGTGTGTTAATATGCTTCCATTTTTTTTTGTACAAGAAGAAACAGCTATGGAATAGACACATATATGGGAAGGCTGTGGGTAAAGGAGAGGGGAGCAGACAAAGAGGCGGAAAGGAGATTTGGACCTACAGCCTGCTGGGTGGATCTCACGAACACCAGACAAAATATCTTGTCAGAGGATGTGTATTTCCCCTCTTACCACCAAGCACATGGAGAAAGCCAGAGTAAAGGCTTTTCTGAGATTTCTGAGATGCCTATTTAATGTAGCAAAGCGGACCTGGCTGCCAGGTCCTCCCAGTATCCCTCAGTCCCTGCCAGTGGCAGGGTGTGGCTGGCATACTCTGACCTCAATCCTGAACTCTCCTATATAATGGAACAATTTTGGTTACCAGCCTCTTTTACCCTTTCCTCTTTCGGTTGCTACACCTGGATCCCCTCTCTCCCTTCTTCCCACGTGGCTCAGGGTTCCGTCCGCTCTGCACTCTCCCAGATGCGGCTACACCCTGCTACAGCTCTCTTTTATCTACAATAAACCTTTTCCACTGGGCGGTGGTGGCGCACGCCTTTAATCGCAGCACTCAGGAGGCAGAGACAGGAGGATCTCTGTAGCCTCCAGAGCTACAGAGAAATCCTGTCTGGAATAAAGCAATCAACCAAACAAACAAATAAACTTTTTCCTCCACCAGGACATGTATTTCTTTTTTTAATTCGGTTGGCCTGTTTTTATTTATTTTATTTTTTAATCTTTGAGACAGGGTCTTACGATGTAACGCTGGATGGCATGAAACTAGAGGTATAGAAGATCTGCCTGCCTCTGTCTCTGAGTGCTGGGATTAGAGGCGTGGACATCACTCCTGCAAGAGGATTTTAAAAACAGATCAGAAAGGATCTAATCCCAGGTCCTATACGTCCTAACTGTGGGGTTGTTTCTGTCCTTCCTTTCTTCTTCTTCTTTTTTTTTTTTTTTTTTTTTTGGTTTTACGAGACAGGGTTTCTCTGTATTGTTTTGGAGGCTGTCGGTCCAGCCCAGCCTCGCACTCACAGAGATCCGCCTGCCTCTGCTTCCCGAGTGCTGGGATTAAAGGCGTGCACCACCACACCACCGCCCGGCTCTGTCCTTATTTTCATAAAGGGAGATAGTACTGGCTAATTCCTGGCCTATGGTAACAATGATTAAAATAATCCTGTGCATAGCATCTGGCAGAATGTCTGGAGCAGATTAAGTCATCAAAATGAATAGTTATTTCTTTGGTGCGAATACATTTTAATAAACTCATTAATTAATATCATTTTGACATTAAATATTTATATTGTGCAGTGCTATTATTGAAACCCTTCTGAACACTCTGCATTAGGTATCTGTCTCCAGAGTTCAAACCGAACACAGAATTTATCTGCATTTCCAGGTGGATGTTTTTCTTTGTCCTTAAATACACCATCAACTCTAAATTAAAGCCACACATTCAGAAGACTAAACACCCACCAAGTGTTTAAAGCACCAAGAAAACACATCCCATGTTGTTATCCTTGAGGAACCGACAACCCCAGTGAGACAAACAGGTGTGACCTTCACATAACCATGGCCCAGATCTGGCACACGAGATGGAAATACTAGCAGTTTTAAGTGCCCAATTCTGTCTGTGCATCTGCTGGCATGATATGAAGTCACACGCTGGGGTTACTCGCAGACATTTCAGCCTTGTGGGCTCCTTTGGCACATTAATTGCTGTGGCGGCTGCATCAACCCAAGTGTTACACAGGACTGGCCACTCTCAGAAGCCCTACTGCTCCTTGGAACAGCTACATCATCTTTAAAGCGTCATCAAACAGAAGTGTCTTTGTTATACATTGAGATGAATAATTACCAACCATTTTCATGTGAGAATCTGCTCCTCCCTCCCCAAGCTGAAGCTCTCTGTCTGTGGGGGTTGGGGAGCAGGCAGCTGGAGTTTACCAAAGATTTTGGTAAAAGGCAAGAAATCGTGAACATCATCCCTGGATTTCTTAAGTGAGAGTGTATGCTTCAAGCATAAATGAAGGCGGAGGCCAAAGGAAAAGGCATTTCACTTTATATCTGGTACTGTGGTAAGAAAGAGTGGTCCTGGGGATGCTTAATAAAAACCACCCACAGAATTAATTATTCAAGTCTTTCTCCCCAGCACAGCTGGGTCTTGCGGGAAAACAGCAATACTAGCCTGTACAGAAACAACAGGAAAACGAAACAATCATTTCTGAAGAAGCTGTGATTGACGCTGTAAAACGCTACAGATATACACCTTGGGGGGTTGACTGCATAGTTTCGCTAGCATGTTTTGCGTCTGTGCCCCCAAAAGGCACACGCTTATTCATCCCTTGTCTACCTACGGTGGAAGCTCTAGGCTCCACATCACAGTTGAATGAAGGCTGGATTAAGAAGCTAATCTAAGGCTATATATAGACAGCAACACCAATTTAATCCCCGCCCTCTCCACCCTCCCCTCCTTAGTACCATAAATCGCCAAACCTGTGTTACAAAGACAGGCAACTCTCTCGGAGCAAAGGCAGCCCACACCCCAGCCAAGTATTAGTGCAAGCGTAATTTGCTTCTAAATATCCGTAACAAACACCGCAGGTCCAGGTTCCATGGCTTCCAGAGGCCAAGAGATGACAGACGAGAAGTGGGGAGGACGAGGTTCGCCAAAAGAAAATCACCTTCTCCGAGCCTCTCCCCGTCACAAGCTCACCACACTGGCGCGGGCCTCCCCCGGGGATCGCCAAGCACCCGACCATGTGCACCCGCCACTCGCACCGCGTGGCCAGATCGCGGTTCGCCCGCGGTCCCCGGGGCTCCTGGGGCGGCCACACGTACCGAGGTCGGGGTCTTCTTCGCGGGGCACCGACACACGGGCACGCAAGGATGATGGCGCGGCGCGGGGGCTTCTCTACCAAGGGGAAGGCAACCGCCCCAGGAGGCACATGCTTCCACCGGGCTCCAGCCCGGTGGGAGCCCCTGGCCCGGAGGTGGCCTCGGCTCCCTCCACCCCCAGGCTCCTGCCGCCCCACCTGGCCACCTCTTACCTGTCCAAGGAAGGAGCGACGACGCGCGAGACTGGTGGCTGCGGCGGATCCTGCAGCAAGCGGTGGCGGCAGCGGCGGCTGGGGCAGACAATGGAGGAGTGAAGGACAGACACATTGACACAGACACACGGAACCCGGTTTAGCTCCGCCTCCCAGCCCGGCCCCGCCCTGGCCCCGCCCCTCGTCCCGACCGCGCCACTCTAGGGGAGGTGCTGCGCGTCCAGCGGCCGCATCCTGATGCTACTGCGCGTCTCCACAGAAGCCACTGCCGGGCAGAAAAGGTGTTTTATGTCGAGTGCAAGGAACAATGTGTCCCTGTACTTCCCAATAGGTTAGTATGGGGAGTGGGCAGCCTAGAAGATATATTGAACCCACCTATAGATTTCTCCTTTTGGTTTGGACCTCGTGAGCCGCTCCAATTGGAGCGTCTGGCTGCGCTCGCAGCTCCTCCTCCCCACCGGGCCAATAAGCCGCGGGGGCGGTACTTGCGGAGAGCGCCTGCCCGGCTCGCCCGAGCTCGCCGCACCCGCCATCCCCCAGCCGCAGGACCCTGGCGAGCGCCACTCTGCTGGGCTGCTCCCCTGGCCTCGGGTTGCCTGGCTGTGGCGGACTTCCACGACGCGCACACGTCTCTCGTTTTTAAAAATCTCACCAAAGAAATAGATTAGGCTTCAAGCTGGCGGGAACGATGGGTCACATAAAGAAAGGCGAGCTGACCCAGGAAGAAAAGGAGCTTCTGGAAGTGATCGGGAAAGGTACGGGCACAGGGCTGGTACCCGGGCGCCGTGCAACCTAGGGGCGCGCTCCGGGCCCGGGCTGTCTTGGGCAGCTTTCTGTCTCTGGCTGGGAACGGATTGCAGGGGCGGGGAGATGGGAGGCAGAAGCATTGCGGTGATCAGATCGAGGCTTAGACCTCTAAATCAGCTTTTTGGAAATCCACAAGCTGCCACTGCCCCTCAGAGACTGTTAGGCCCGGCCCTAGGGCACTAGCCTCCGCGTGTGCAAGCTTGCCAGCAACTCGGATGTTATGACCGCAGTCAGTCAAGACCACAGTGGCCTGGTAGTTTTAGGCTCTTAAGCGGGTGTCTAAGGGGCCCTTTTGACTTCCGGAGGCCGAAAGATCTGGATTCCTTGCGGATCCCCGCCCCTGCTGGGGGTGGAGGGAGCTCTCAGCGAGGAAATGTTCTTTATAAGGGCACAGAACTCAGCATGAACGTGCCACCTTGAGCTTTCTGCATCCAGGGCCTCTGTGGCTGACTTCCTGTCGCCCAGGAAGGCCAGGAGATGGGGAGAGCTCTGAGGTCTTCTTGTCGTGCTTCTTAGTGCGTTCCCTTTCACTTCGTGGATTCGAGTTCCGCCTCTGCCGTCCAGCTTGTAGGAAGGAAGCCACCTAGGCCAACCAGAAGGGTTGTTTCCTCCACGAGTCTCCGAGTGAACGTCCTAGAGGAATTCTCAGCCGCACCCCGTTACCTGGCAGGTGACATCAGCGTGACCAACGTGCACTGCCACTTTTCTGAGCTGAGGATGAGTGCCTGCAGGCATGACTAATGTGGATGCTTTAAGTCCAAGAACTAGACGTATGCCCTTGAAAGGCAGAGAAACCGGACATTGTAACACTGGGCTCCAGCCGTCTAGGTAGCCAAATTCAGTGTAGAACCACAGATAGGAAGGCAAATGCATTCTTTCTAAGAAGGGTTGCCTGAGTCTAAGGAGCATGAAAAGAGAAAACTATCCGGTTTGAAACCAACAGGTGACTAGGAACTGATGTCACATGTAGGTCAGTCATGTCTGGATTCTCAGGGTAACTGATGATTGCCGAAGATCTCAGAGCTCTGGGTTCGATGTTACTCTGTGAACTGCATGGTGCTCAGTGACTTCTGGTTTTCTGCGCAGTCTTCGGGTTTCTCGCTGCCTTCAGTAGGTCTGGGATTTAGTTTAGTGAACAGGAGCCCCGGCTACGTGCCAGGTACTGTACCCATCAAAAATAAGAGAGGACAGCGCATAATCCACCAGGGATGATAGTTCTGATTTTAAACAGGCCAAAGCTATCACGTGTTCACTAAAGGGAAAGTCAGCGAGTAGCTGGAGAAAATACAGTCTGAAAGGGGTGTGTGTGTAAGGTCTTGGATGTATGCAGAGGTGTGAAAGGGTTTGTATCAAACAGCAATAGTGTGCTTATCACTTATATTTCTTAGGCCACCTCGTGCTCAAGGTTTGTGAGTACACAGATGCTGGTTTACTTTCCCCAAGCCAATGAGTGAGCAACCAAGGTAAATTTACTCTGTGATGCATTCTTGTCCTGTCAGGTTTTGAGATATCATTGCTTTCAGGAAAAGTACTGAGAGATGGGAGAAGATAAGCCAGCGTTGAATTCAATTCTGAGCACATGGCATGTACATTTAATCTAGAAGAGCTAAAGGTTTGTGTTTTGTTTTGTTTTCTCGGAATTGTAGCAGGAAGCATCATGGAATGGTTATTTTTGGTTGTGAGCCTAGCCTTTAACGGCTGAGCCATCTCTCCAGCCCAATGGAATGGTTATAACTATGTGTCTGGGTTAGGTTTTTTTTTTAATTTTTATTTATTTTTTGTCAATTTAACACAAGCTAGCGTCGTTCAGGAAGAGGAACTTCAGTTGAGATATCTGCAACAGGTTACAAGTTTGTGCCAGCATTTTCGGGATTAATGATTGATATGGAAGGGGCCAGCCTCCTGGGGTCAGTGCCACCTTTGGGAAGTTGGTTCTGGGTTCTATAAGAAAAGCAGACCAGAAAGCAAGCCAGTAAGCAGCACTCCTCCAAGGCCTCTTCATCAGCTCCTGCCCCCAGATTCCTGCCTGGAGTTCCTGCCCAGAAGACTTCCTTCATGATGGCGTATTCCTCCTTCCCTGAGTTGATGTTTTATCACAGCTTTTGGTCATGATGTTTTATCACAGCAATAGAAAGATGACACCATGCCGGTCTGGTTTGCAACAGGAACGGCATTGTTTCCTGATGCTGTGGACTTATGCAGGTGTCTAATTCTGTGGGTATAATAGTCCCTACCTCATGCCACTGTTTAAGGATGAAAGTGACTTAGTACAGGTGACATGTTAAACACACTCTGTGGCTTTGGTGAATATCTCCCCTTCATAGAGAAGGAAACTGCAGAGGGAGAGCTTCTAGAAACCTTGCAGAAATCTACTGTTTCAAGGCACATGTTATAGTAGATATACTTAGAAGCATCTTGATTTTTTTTAAAAAAAGCATTTTTAAGAAAAGTAAAACGTATGTGTGTGTTTGTGCTGTAGAGCACTGTTGCACCTGCTGTGCGGCCTGCATCCAAGAATGTAGCGAGGTGGTTGGGATAGATGACACAGACACCGGTCGGTTGCTTTAAGAAAACTTTATGCTTCCCAAGTCAGCTTAGGAGGAGACCCCAGTCCGCTTAGGAGAGAGAAGTCTCCCCAAGAAGAGCCGGGCGTTGGTGGTGCACGCCTTTAATCCCAGCACTCGGGAGGCAGAGGCAGGCGGATCTCTGTGAGTTCGAGACCAGCCTGGACTACCAAGTGAGTTCCAGGACAGCCTCCAAAGCCACAGAGAAACCCTGTCTCGAAAAACCAAAAAAAAAAAAAAAAAAAAAAAGAGCTTCCCTTTTTAAGGACTTCTGCCATCCATCTACATACAATTCTTTCCAGACTTCTCACCCTCCTGGCTGGTGGTTTAATCTCCGGCCCCAGAATCGGGGAGACACCGCAGGGGGGGACAGGAAGAGGCATCTAGCCGTAGGGGGTGTGAAAGTCATGGTATCTCAGTGAGCTAGCCCTTATCTGAGCCCTATCAAGAGCTTCAAAGCACTGAATTGTTTTCAGTAAACATTACACAGCTGCCTGCTCCCAGGCTAAAGGGGAAGTGGGTTTTTGCTCAAGGTCTGGTGTCCCCACAGAGCACAGCCACTCTTGGGGGCCAGATGGTATCCGATCCTCTGGAGCTGGAGTTAGTTCCGGGTGGCTGTGAGCCACCAGATGTAGACGCTATCTATGGATGCTGGGAACTGAACTGCAGCCTTCTGCAAGAGTGAAAGCTGGGTTTAAATGAGTCCACCAGACCCAAGATAAATGACACACAGGTATTTATTAGGGAAGCACTTATGCAGATAATAGTAATTAACCACTGCGGTCCTCCTGCTCCAGAAGATGCAGTCGCTGCCCTTGGGATGCTCTCACCACACCCCAAGAGAGCGAGTCAGCCCCTCCTCCACCTTATAACGGGCCATGTCTGAACACCTGAAGCCACACTAGGAGAGCAAGATGCCACCAAACAGTAGCAGTGTGTTACTTTTAACTAATGGGCTGTCTATGCAGCCTCCAGTTGTCTGCTTGGAAACATTTTCACAGCTTTATACATGATGATGGCAATTTATATCTATATATTTCTCTTCTAAAGTTAAGGCACTTGCAAGCCACGCGGTGCCTTAGTGGGTAACGTCCTTTCTGAGCAAGCTAGACAACCCAAGTTTGCCCACTGGAGCCCACATAAAGATGGAACGAGAACTGTCTCCAAGGTTGTCCTCTGACCCCCACGTATGTCCCTTGGCATGTGCACACACCCTCCACATACATCATACGGTTAAGATGCTTGAAACATGTTTACATAATTTTCCTTATATGTAAACCTTATATGGCAGCCACTGTCTCAAACCACATTGTAAACGTTTAATTGGATATAGATGCTGCCAAGACTCAGTTGCTAAGAGCACTTATTGGTCTTGTAGACCTGGGTTCAGTTCCCAGTGGACTCACAAGCATCAGTAACTCCAGCTCCAGAGATCTAAGGTCATCTTCTGGCCTCCACAGATACCAGGCAGTTTCGTGGTACCCATATATACACACAGGCAAGATGCTCTACACATAAATAATTTCCTTTGGGACAGGGTTTCTCTGTGTAGCCCAGACCATCCTGGCATTCACTCTGTAGACCATGCTGGCCTCGAACTCAGAGCCCCACCTGCCTCTTCCTCCCAGTTGCTGAGACTGAAGGTGTGTGCTGCCGCGCCCGCTGCGCAGCCTGTATCCGAGAATGTGGCGAGGGTGTCGGGATTGACGACACAGAGACCAGAAGGCTCCTCAAGAAGGCTCTCTTTTATTCCTATTCTGGCTCGTTATTATATACCCTGACACCAGGGGTGGGGGTGGGTGGTCTGAAGAGGCAGATAGACTTTGTGAAAGGTCGAGGTCAGGGCAGTTCCGTGGGCCAGCCCTTTTCAGGAACTTATTGCCCTGGGCATTGTATTGTTTTTCGTAAACATTGTCTTACAGCTGCCTACTCCCAGGCCGATGGGGAAGTGGGTCTCTGCTCAAGGTCTGGTGTCCCCACAATTCCCCATTTTTATTTTCTAATGAAGCACTGCTGGCTTAGGTCAAGTAGGGTCACCCTCCCTTGCCCGTCTTTGGGGGACCTTGAACCCCTGTCTTAGGTGGGAGGTGTCTTCCCCACAGGTCTTCCGTCAACGGAAGAACCTCATCCTTAAGTCATCTGTAAGCAACCTTCATGGCTATCGGGATTGTCATGGGCTAGGCTAAACAATACTTGGTTATGGATCTCTTGCCTCTGGAACAAGGCACATTTGAGCTCGGCATAAGGCCAGAATGCCTACTGCCACTGCCACCATTTCCAGGACCCCCATTGACATAGCGACTCTCCATCACCGTACCCATCACTAGATCTGGGCCATAACATTCTACCAGCCTTTCTCTGTTACAAGGGTAACCTGCATGTGA